TTCCAAGATTTCAACCCAATCAGAGGCCATCATTAAATACAAAGAGTGCCACACCTGAGAAGATGCTTAAAGGAAACACCAGATATACCTACCCGACCCTAATAAATATATAGCACGCAACACACCCAACTCATCGAGCAATCTCCAGTCACCAAGTAATTTGGACAGCATAGTCCTGCCAATATAATCGGCCTACACATCGAATATACACTATAGCATTGTACATTGACAAAGAAAGAAGTATGACAAGTAACTACTCATCATCAGACCTGCTTCTTGATGTAGGTGATAAGGCACTCTTGAAGAATAGCTGAAGGCAATGGAGTACCCTTAGGCTCAACATTTTGAATCCAGCTGAGTGTTCTTGAGGGAAGCGTGCAGTTATTCTGGAAGGGTAAAACTTTTGATATCTGAAGGTCATCCTGTTACATAGTTCAAAAGAAAATTTATATCACAGCAGAAAGAAAAGGATAGGTTGCAAGTATTCTTCAGTCACGTACACACGGAATACCTGGAAAGATGGAAGAAGGGTAGGAAATGGAAGCAAAACCTCAAGCATTTTTGCATCTTCTAGGAATCTCACACTTTCCACCTCGCCAAACTGAGAATCTAAAGTAGAACTCATACCACTATTATGGAATATTGCCTTTCTTAGGCACTCATCATTCAAAGGAGGGAGATCAAAAGCTCGAGAAACATTCAGTGAGCTCCAAGAATCTCTGTTCTCCCAAAGAATCCCACGACAAACAGTAATAGCTGGATTTTCAGGACAATACTTTCTAGGAAGCATGTCAAGTTCATCCGAGATAATTTCCAACCCCTTCATATTATGTGAAACTTTTCTTGATGTTAAACCCATACAACTTTTCTGTGTTCGTGTGTCATCCAATAACTTCTGCCAGACCTTTTTTGACTGCATATTCCCCCCTAAGCTTCTACCGATCTCTTCTACAACCAGAGTCTCCTCAATGGGTCTGGTCAAACGTTTTCCATCTTTCCATAAACCCTCAGCAATATGATCACCGTCACCAATCAGAGCTGTTAGTGACACACAAAACACCTCCAATAAGGTTAGCTCATCTACGCTACACCCATTCTCAACATCACCACCAGAAATTGCCAAAACAGATCTTGTAGGAGCATGCCGGATAAGCTGCAGTGATTTTCCAGCAGAAATAATTGCCTTAGCAATGTCTTTAAAGAAGACTGGACAAACTTGAAAGTCTTCATTATTATCTTCTTTCCCCATTTCCATATTCGGAAAAGATATGGATGCTCTGCCAGTTATATCTTTTTTGTCTTTAGCTAAAGGCCGATATTCTGCAGCCAAATTGACAAGACTAGGTTTTTCTGGCATAGCCGATCTCAACTGACAGCTTTTCTCCCAAAATTCCGCCTCCTCTATTGCAATATTTTTGTTTGCAATGAAAAACATCTGCAGGAAAGCCCAAAATATCATCATAACAACAAAGATACACTAAGAAGGGTAACTAAGAGCTGCATTTGCAGTGGAACTTGAGTCCATTTTCTAGAGCAAACCTATTATAACAAATACCGACACCAGGTAGTAATCTATTCATCTCCTACGATATTCTCTTTTCTTGTACTAATTAAATCCAATCCCAGGACTTTGCAGACATAAAAAAATCCCAGCCTAACTACATCATAAGCACCTTGCGACAGATTGCAGCCAACCATCTCCTTTTGTGTGGATAGTCAGGGGTTTCAGCAGTGTGTGGGACACAATCAGCAGATGTATAAATTTAGTAAAAATGAAAGGCCAACTGCATCTAGTTAGAGCATTTCATGATCTTCTAATGCCTGAGATGTTCAATGTGTTAAGCATATCCCTAGGTTGCAGGTAGCAAAATTTTATGTGAAAAAATAACAGGCCATAGAGAAACCCAAGCACTATCGCACGAACATTGATCTCACGGAAAAGTTAACGGGCAATAGAGAAACACAAGAACTATCTACGCCAACATTGATCGCTAAAATGTAGATAATTAGATGCAAATTTCTCGAACATTCATCATCAAAACGAGAACATTATATGCTGATACAAGTTACAGATATAACTTATTTTGAGATTGATCTAAAGATCTTGGAGGATTAAAAATTTCCTGGACTACAATTTACTATATTCTTGCACCATGAGTCGTAGAAGTCATGACAAAATATGTATGCCCTAATTAACGAAATAAGTCAACATTTATATTCCATTTTCAGATACCAAATGTTCCATACAAGGGTGAAGGAAATACCTCCTCAAAGGGATCATCAAGAGTTCCCTGGAAAAGCCAAGAATCAAGGCTCTCAATATACGGTAGCAAACTTTCTACAAGTATATAAAATAACATTCGGAATGCATCCTCCTGCAACCAGTGAGCTATACAGTTTAAATAACAAAAACTAGGGCAAGCATTAAAGAACGATGTATCATTTTACAAAGAAATTTGAAAACCTCTCCCCTATCCACAAGACAAACTTCATTGAGCTTCATGTAAAGATGATTCAGAATGTGAACAGCTATATCAGCAGCTGGAACATAGGCATCAAGATCAAAATAGAACCGAGGAAGGGCTCCATGCACTATTTGAAGCAAATATTCAGCTCCTGCGCAAAGGCTACAGAAAAAGAAACAATCAAGAACTTTCATGAGGAAACTTCTAATGGATCTCTTCCAAAATATTTTCATACAACTAAAACAAAAGTTAATGAGGAACACCAAAATAAAGCACTAACTTATAACTGCTGGGATGATTCTAAACAAATCATACGTGGGCTTCTCTGTATGGGAAAAAAGGGAAGCATAAGCAATGGATATTGTGATGCAGTTGGATTTTAACATATACATGTTTGGACATAATAGAACATGTCCAAGTGAAGACAGCAATTTGGAATACACACAATTATTGATTCTAATTTACAAAAAACAAGAAATGCAGTATGATGCATCATTTCAATAACGACCTTCACAAAAATAAAATAAGAATGAGTATTAGTGTCAGTAGGTTCAGATTCTCGACATAGCACTCACCTTGATAAAGAACTGGACAATCCCAAGATAGACACAGCAGTAGTAAAATTTGGGTTATTGATTTTCATCTCTTCTTTCAGAGCAACATCTCGCATTCTCTGCCACAATGAGGAAAAGAAAAGAAAACCATTGGAACAGAATCAAAACATGTAAAAAATAGATACTGAGGTCAGATCAAACAGAAACTTCAGTCTAATGGCAAGAACGTACTCTAAGACACGTGCTAACAGAACAAGAAAATGCTCTTAGAGTCGGGGGAGTCGAGCTCTTAGATTTCTCAATTTTGTTCACCATAATATCAACCAGTTGTAAACACGTTGCAGCATATGAAAACTGATCAAGGACATGATACAAACTCGTCTGTGAAAGATGATTCAAGAAAATCCCATTTTTGTAGTGAAAACACTGCCTCGCCTCATTCCAAGAGAATAGTGAACTCGCTAGACCTTGAAGCATTTGCACAACTCCTCGAACCTGAACAAAAAATGGAATAAATGAAAAACCACCACCCAACTAGAAAGAGAGAGGTACAATGAGTAACAACAAAGGGGGACAGTGTAAAAAAAAAAAACACTTAAAATAGACTACCAGGTCGAATTCATTTGTCCTCAAAGACAAAGCTGGAGATGCGAAATGTATGCCACTACCAGTGAAGGGTCTGTGGATACTGTCGATCAAGTTTTCACAAACCTCCATCACCTACAGCTCAACTAAAGCAAACACTCATGAAAAGAAGGGAGAAAATAAAGAGACGGGGAACTAAAGAAATGGAAAGAAAAGAAAAACTTGTTGAGGCCCCATATCAAACACTTGGAGGGCAGCATCAAGGTTGTCGGGAGCCATTGTTCAGCGTAAATTATTCTGTTGCGACCATATTTGGAGAAGAGGGTGAAGTACTACAGCAACAGCAGTTCAAATTCTGGGGCGTGGGATTGTGAAAGGTGGGTAAAAACGGCAAAGGTCTATAGATTTCGCTATATATGCACGCAAGCAATTCATAGAGTGATACTTTATCAGGGAGTAATGTCCTGAACGACAGACAACGTCGGAAGTCCTTTTCCGGTTCTTCTACAGGGAAGATGAACCATTGCCGTGAGGCTTTTCAGGTTTTCTTTTCCTTTTTTCTTTTTTCAAGTACGATTTGAATTCTTTTTGCCTTTTCCAATTTCAGAACATGTGCTCCAGTTACGCAAATAATTAGGTGTGGAAGGTGGTGCAACCCACTTCTTAAATAGGCGCGTGAATGTGAAAGTTAAAGAAACATAGGCACGATATTCAAGGCAAAACATTTCTTTTTCCCGCCTCTGAACGCGATGCGTATATATGTATTTCTTAACATGATCAATATGTTTCTTTGTAAAATGAACATGTCAACTTATAAGATGAATATGTTTTATTATCAGCTCAATATGTTAAATTATAGGCAAAATTGCATCTCACATCACGACTTTATCGACTTTTGCACTTCTGTCACGACTTTGGGACCTTGGTAATTCGATACCCAACCTTTGGTGTTTTTGCAAGACCAAGCATTGACCACCTCGCCGGCCAACAGATGCCAGCTTGTCCGGCAACTTAATCCAACATGTCAGTGACATGGAGGACTTGTCTCCTGCAAAATGACATGCCATGTCCAATGACTCATTTCATCATGTATAAATACCAAAAAAATAAATAATTTATTACACTAAATCGAAATCAAAATCGAATCCCTAAATCCCATTCACTCTTTCCTCGACCAAACAGATGCCCTAAGTTCCTGAATCGAAATCGAAATCGAAAAATCCCTCAATCCCATTCACTGACAGCCCACAATTTGTGTCGACAAATCCAAAAGCTGTCGAAGAACCCTACAAATTCTCGGCAAATTTGCAATTTTCCGAAGAAACCTGGAAATTTGTACATAAAGCCTTCGATTTCTGAAGAACCCTTACAAAATCTCTGCAAATCCCCATTGTAGATGACGGACATGTATGGATTTCTCTCTTCTTAGATAGTGATTGCAGTGATTTTTTGGAGCTGAAGGAAGAACAATTTCTTGTCGCGGGGTGTAGGGAGGGTCGCAGGGTCGTAAGAAATTTAGGGATTTGATGATTTTTTGGGGATTTTTTGCTATTTATAAGATGTTTTTACAGGTGAAACTACGTCGTATTGATGAGGTGTATGTTTTGGCCTGAGACACGTCCTCCACGTCAGTGCCATGTTGGATTAAGTTGCCGGACAAGCTGGCATCTGTCGGCCGGCGAGGTGGTCAATGCTTGGTCTTGCAAAAACATCAAAAGTTGGGTATCGAATTGCCAAGGTCCCAAAGTCGTGACAGAAGTGCAAAAGTCGATAAAGTCGTGATGTGAGGTGCAATTTTGCCTAAATTATAAGATGAACATGGTTTTTTCTCAGATGAACATGTTCATTAACACGATAAATATGTTGATTTTGTACAAGATGAATAAGTTGATTTTGTACGTAATATGTTTCTTAACATGATGAATATGTTTCATTGTAAAATGAACATGTCAAATTATAAGATGAAAATGTTATGTTATAAGATGAATAACTTAATAAATTGAGAGTTTAAATAGGCACGTGTACTTCAGGATAGCAAATATTTTTGGATTCCACTTTTATTAGCCTTGGCCCGCGCGTGAATTTCTGCCCTGGCACACCTAGCAAGGTGTGCCAGAGCACACAATAGTATTACTGCTTCGGTTAAGTCGATGCCACCCTCGCGGGTGGCACCCGTTTTTACTGTACACCTATCACACGCTGACACGTGGACAGAACCCATTTCACTTTTATTTTTTTTTTTCACCTTTAGTTCGAATTTCCAGATAGGCAACTTACATTTCAGCTTTTTTTATTTTCATTTACAGGTAACCATGGTTAATGTTTGAAAAATCAAAATTTGGATCTGAAATTTGAAACTTTGAGAGACCTAAAAAAAAAAAAATCATCGCCTGCCCGATTTCACGAGAGAACATCTCTTTGATTGAAGAATCTCGTTTGTAGCAGAAAGGCCCAATTGTAGCATCTCTCCAAATTCCCGATTGAAGAATCTCGCCCGATTGGAGCATCTCGCCTGTTTCCAGCGAGACACGAGGGATTGTGGAAGAAAGTTCATCTCGATTGCAGCATTCTCGCCCAATTCACAGGTACATTAAGGGTAGTTTTTATAATTTTCCCTATATATTAAGGTTTATGTTTTAGGTTTACAATTATTGTTTGTTGGTCTGTAAGATGTAATCAAACTTCCTTCTGGTTAGGACCCATTTGTTTTTTTTTTAATTTTTTTTTCACATATAAAGTTGGAGTGTAATTAAATGAGTTTAAATTTGAATTGGAGGACCCATTTGAATTGTGTTTTGAGTTCATAATTCTTGTTTATGTTTTTCTGTTGGTCTGTGTGATGTAATCAAGTTCCTTCGCGATTGTAGTTTTTTTTTTTCTTATCAATTTGAATTGGGTTTAAATTTATCGCTTCAAATTGGAGGGGGTCAATTAGGATTTTAATTTGAAGAGTTTGTAATCAATTTGTGAACTATGAAATTAATTCAATGTGGCAGGGGTTGAAATTGTCATCTTTGCATGTAATATCCTGAAATTGGACTGTAAAGTTTTAATTTTTATATTTTTTTGTTTGTTTGTTGAGCAGGAATTCCAGTATTTCTTGTGTCTTTTTCAAGACTAAGGGGCCCCAGTTTCTTCTTCTCTAATTAAGTAGGTTACATTACTAATAACTATGAAGATGTGTTAATTGATAGGATTTAAGCAATGTTTACAAGACAAAGAATTACATATGCTTGTGGTTTTGACTCAAGTTTTGATTAGGCTGAAACTGAAAATATTTTGGTGACTCACTTGTGTTGTTCACTTATCTCCATGCATGTTTGTTGTATCATTATATGCTGTTACAATCTTTGCAAGAGATATGATGCAAAAACTGTATTAATCTTTTTCTCTTGTTGATTAATTCGTTCTTTTTATAGGTAATATTGAATTAATGGATCATTATCCGCAATGTGAAGACTTAGAGGATAATGGCGAAGAGCTTCAAGAACAACTTATTGGGTTTTCTTCTCCTCCACCAAATTCTAAGGTTCAATCTTTTGAATCTGTAGTAGAACATTTAGAAAGTAGACTAGCAGTTGGCATGAAAGTGAATAACATTGAAGATGCATATTTGCTCTATTGTCAATATGTAACGCCCCAAATCATAAATATTATTAAGAACGGTTTCACTGCTCGACTATAAGTGAAATCCGTAATTTTCAGAATTTTCTGAGTTATGTTTTATATGCTAAATGCTCAATTATGTTAGATTATTCTTTGGAATTTTCTACGTCAAGTTAAGGCCAAAATCAATCCATTAATTTGGATTGATAAGTGATATCTATTCGACTCGAGAAATATTTGGCTTCGAACCCTAGTTCCGTTCCAAGTCATTTTTCAAGCCATTTCCGAGTCTTAGCCGAACCCTATGAGATCCTAGCCATCTTACCTCCTTAGTCTTGGTCCCATACTCATGAAGGCTGAGTTTTAGGTGTTAATTGACGCCTAAATAAGCTTGATTTGGAGTTAAGAAAGAGTTGAACAAGTTTAACATTCTTTATTCATAAGCTAGTGCATCATGGGCATGATTTTTTTAATGTGAGTGTGTAAGGTCTTGTTCCCCATCATTTTTTAGTGCTATGACCTGATTTCTCCTGTTCGTGCTCCACCAGACCATAGGGCCCCACTTTCATTCAAGTATTCAGAGAATCATGCATTGGAAATGAGTTGGTGCAAGTCAATGTCTCCCACTTTCTTGTATAGTTTGCATCGCCCTAAGACCCTATTTAAGACTCCAATTCAGCTCCTTGTATCCCTCATTTTATCCTCAACCATCCCTTAGTATAGTGGAGAGAAGAATAGTTTAATCACTTGAGCATTTTAGCAAAACCAAGAGTGAGTAATTGAGAGCAAGCAAAAATCCCGAGTGCACACTTGTGATCATTTTCGAGTTCTAAGCATCAAAATTTCATGCCCTAATCATAATATCATTCTTACCCCATCCTACACTCATCATAGAAGAGCTTTAAGTCTTAAAGTTCAAGAAAAATCGTAGAGAAGCAAGCATAAAGTCGAGAGCAAGAAGAGGAGGCTACAACCGAGCATACCCGACTTCTCTTGCGTTTTTCTTAAAGATTAAGAGGTTGGTATGCTCAAACCTTTTTAGAATCATAAAATAGATGAGATAAGGAGTTGATTGATATATAATGGACCCATATATGTTCAGTTTTGAAGTAGTTTCAAGTATGCTTAATGTTTTAGTACTCCCAGTTTTTCTTGCATGTTCTATATGTCATATTTTCGTACATTTTTGCCTATGCTCTAAAACATTTGGGAATGTGCAAATTTTATGACTACTTCTTGTAGAAGATAGGAGTTCATAGGATCAAGAATTAGGTCAATTGGCTTAGTATAACTCGAGTTCTTGATTTTTAAAGTTAAACATGCAAGATGAACTTTACATGCGCGAATTTCAGTTGCGACTTCAAACGCGTAGAACTCGAGTTATACTCAGGATAAAATTATGAAATTTTATGGACATGTTTATATATGAGTTTAGAGCCTCCATAACAAATTTCATGATTTTATCATAAGAAATGAAGGAGTTATAATTTTTAGATCGCATGCGTGTCGAACTAATTTTATGAATGCAAGAGTACTCTGTCCACATGCAAGCAGCCAGTGCCGCACGGTCAGCGTGCGCGCGTGCCGCCCAGACCGAGCCTAGGTCACCAGTCGAACTCGAGCCAGTTCGGTAAGCAGACCTGGTTCGACTAAGTTAGACCAGCTGGTTCAAACCAGATTAAGATAGACTGATAAATTTAGTTTCCAGGATTCAGTCAGACTTTATCTGGAAACGCTAGATCAGTCCAGTCGAGCAGAAGAGCAAGTCCAGTTTACTTGTTTACGTGATCTTATTTGTTTTATCTGTTTTGTTATGTATGCATGTAATTATTTATCTGTAATCTGCCTTATCTGCCTGCCTGCTTATCTGTTATAATATAAAATGATCATTTCAGATTAAGTTTAGTAGTCAAGCAAAATACTTAGATTATTTTGCTTGTAAATGTTTGGTAGCTTGAGGAGAGTCGAGCCTCTGATAGCTACTCAGATTTTCCAGCACTTGCGTAGTCCTTTTCAGCATAACAGGTGGGGGTCATGTACTGGATTCAACATCATGTATAATATCTGTACCATGGCAGAGGTATGTTCGAGACAGTTAGTTTCTCCCAGGTGGAGGCTGAGGGCCTTAATATCCCATCTTGGGACCCGGTGGAGGCCAAGGGCTTTAATATTCCATCGGGGTGTGCACACGAGCGGCCGAGGGCCGAGGGTCTTTAGACCACAGTAAAGCAAGAAAAGAAAAGTTTACAGTTTAAGCTCTTATATATTTATGTTCATGACACGTTATTATAAATGTTGTTTTATTCAGTACTGGTCTTTGCGGAGCATAGTGGTTTGCGCACGCCCCCATTGTGTTTTTCAGGAGACGGAGTCGAGCGTGCCGGATGAGTACAGACGTGGCAAAGCGTGGTCATGAGAGTCTTGGACATTTTTACGCATATTTTATGTCCCAGTATTTATGATCATGTATTATTCGGATATGTATGCATGTATTTTCTGTATTTCGGATGCTTTCGCTACCAGACTAGACAGTGCGAGATAGTTCAGACATTGCATGTTTAATTCCATTATCCGTAGCGGATAGTTTGGTTGCATGTTTTATATATGTCTGTGAGAAAGTTAAGTAAGTTTTTATCTGTGACATCCCGCAACAAGTTAGTATTTTCGAAAACCAAGCTCGCACGATGTTTCAAAAATAAAAGCGAAAATTTTACTCTAGTTTTTCAAAGCTAGTAAGGCTGGGTGTGATAGAAGTTGGTATCAGAGCAGTTAGCGTTCTGGATACTTTAAAAAGATTTAGAAAAAGCATGACCACGCCACGCTCATCCCGCACCAACTCCGAGGTAAGTCACCTGACTCAGTTAAAGTTTTGCAAGTGCTTACTTCAAGTTAAGTATGGGGCCTAGATGACTATCCTCCTGTAAGACAGATAACTCTAGAGATAGAACTCTAGACAGAACTCTAGAACAGCTAAGCCAAGGACTCTAGACTAAACCAGAACACCATTATGAGCCAGAACATAGAAAGTTTAAGTATAGCGGAACTCTAGCCAAGCTAGGTGTTTTCGGATATCATTTATCTTTTATTTTTTTTCAAGTATAGTATGGCTATTTCTTAATTGGCTATACAAATCAATTCAAGCGTTTATTCAGAAGGCCAATCAATCAGCTTGAGAGATAGAAACTTTCACATCTTTGAAAGTCAAAGGTAGATAAAGATTCAAGCACACTGTTGAGGATTATATTATTACTAAGAAGCTAGTACAGAAACATCAGAGGATGGAGATACAAACAAGAAAAAGTAAATCCTCAACTAATACAAGATTATATTGCATAAAGGGAGGGTGCGTCTCAAGAGCAGAAGACTCCATAACTCTGCCATCCATGATGGTTATAGGTTCACAATGAGAGATCTAAAGGATCAAAGGCTCGCTTGCGTTTGAATCCTTGAGTTTCCACAGAATCTTGAACTGTTGAGATGCTGTCTTGAAGCTTCTTGATAAGTTCAGCGGATGTGTTAGCAGACTTGAATATTTCTCTTTGTAAAGGAGATATAAAAGATTGATACACTCCTTCATCTAGAAATCTAAGCAAGTTGTGGAAAAAGTTATTGAAATTCAACAGACCAATATGTTTGGTATGAAATTTCACTTTTACCCAAGTAGCAAGGGTGAAGATAGTCATTAAAGTTCCATAACCACCAGGATGAACAATGAAAGCATCGCAACCAGATACCATAGCCATCAGACATTCATAAATAGAAAGAGTTATCATCAAAGTAGCAGAATCTTTGACAATCTTTGATGAAATGATATAAAAAGGGAGGATACTTCTCACCTCAATATCAAAGCATTTAGCAGCCATCAAAAGGTTATCAAAGAAATAGATACTAGTCCCTCCATAAAGTATGTTGATCTTGTGTTTTCCCAACTCTTTCACAAGTTGGCTTACAACATAGACATTATGAGGGAAGTTTATAAATCTGGAACCACCAAGAACACACACAGTTCTGATTGGTTGAAGAAGTTTGCTACCTTGAGAAGACTCAGAAGTAGCTATTTGTTATGAGAGACACTTGGCTATAGAGAGAGACTCGCCTTTTAAAGAAGAAAAGTGCAGACAAGAAGGTAGTTGAGACTTAAATGAATCTTATCTGTCAACAACGATAAGATTTATGTACAGTACATCTATACTATCAAGAACAGTGTTTACAAACATGATCTCTGGATACAATATTCTCCAGACTATAGAGTTTCTCTTCATGTTTGAACAAAAGCCATAAAGACATCATTTCTCGATGCACATATCCACTAGAATGTGTTTCAAGAATCTGCTGAATAGTTAGATCCAGAGATTCCTTACTCAAGCCATTCTTTATGAAAGTTATTTTATCTTCCCGATTATTTGAGACAAATCCTAAAGAAGTGCAACAAGTGTTACAGTTCCAGCGAGCGCATTAATAGCAGCCGTCTATCCTTTTTGCTCTATGTTTCTTTGCAAAAGTGCTTTTACCCAT